TCGTGTGTAGGTCAGTGATAATTGATCGAGTAGTTGGAGGGATTTCCAATCCTCGACCGAATATCCACATGGAAAACGCCAATTTTTGATTGGTTAAACCCGTTAAAGGAATAATAGGTCCATTGATTATGAAATGTTGACGAATGCTAGAGTAACTGGCACCTTGTGTAGTTAATAAGTACATTACCTTATAGCCAAACGTGTATTAGTTTGTCCAATATCACTGCTGGTTACTAAGAAATGTCAGTTCAAGGATAGAGAACATAGGTCCCAATAAAACCAATGTCATTTACATCAATATAAATATAATATTATATCAATATAATAGGTTAGAATTATGGTTAGGGTTATTGTTAGGGTTAGGTTTAGGGTTAAGGTTAGGGTTAGAATTAGGGTTAGGGTTAGGGTTAGGCACATTGGTTTTATTGGGACCCATGTTCTCTATCCTTGGGCCGTTAGGGCCAGGGTTAGAATTAGGGTTAGGGTTAGGCACATTGGTTTTATTGGGACCCATGTTCTCTATCCTTGGGCCGAAATGTCTAATTGAAATCCGCAGTCCAAGAAATCAGTTGACTAAGTTGTTTACAGTTTCCATGCAGTTTCAAACCGCTGGGTGTGATACAGATTTATAGTGCACGGACATTTTCGCACGCATGCTCGGCCATACGCAATGCTATCATCAGTGATTACGTAAACACGGACGCTCGTGATAAGGAACTTTGTTTAGTCCGTGGCCATGGTTACATCGCTGACACCTCCATTTCAACTGGCATCCCGGTCCAAAACATATGGGCCGCACAAATGTTTACGTCATCGGCGACTTATCGCTCGACTCCTGGATGACATTTACGGCACGTAAATGAATATCAACAACCGATTTCAAGTCTTGCTTGTAATGTAACCAGCAGTGATATTGGACAAACTAATACGCATTAGGCTATAATGTTACGTACTTATTAACTACACAAGGTGCCAGTTACTCTAGCATTCGTCAACATTCCATAATCAATGGACCTATTATTCCTTTAATCCTGTGAAGCGATAGTTTTCCTGTCGACTAGTAAAGTTAAACAATTGAGCTATGTTCAGTTGTGTAGATTGAATCAAATTACTAGCCGGACACCTGGCCTTGCCCGGAAATTAAAGCTCTCAGTTGGTGACCACTTGGTTGAAAGAAAAATACTCAAAAATATACATATCTAT